ATGTGTATGAGCGCCGGAAGCGGCTTAATTTTTTCGATCTGGTTAAAGCATTAGAGGATTTGAAGCGGCGAGGTGGCTAAAGCTGGAGCCGATGCCAGAGTTCAGTCCCATGCCCGCAGCTCAAGCAGTGACACTCCCAGCCCTTTTTAGGGTCAAATTTGTCCCAGATGAGGAATTTTGGGTGAATTCTGCAAGAAAATAGACGATTTTAGGGAGTGAGCATCCTCCAGTTCCGGATCCGTCCACCCACCTCTCCCCGATGTGCTGGAGGGGGGATGATGGAGCCGTGATCTCCTGTCACCATGGCTTTAAGGATGACAGAGCAAAGCTGCAGCATCAAAGCACTATTAACATAGTCACCATTAGGTTTCAGAGTTAACACCCCCCAGGGAGAGCATGGGGAGCCTGGCCTGCAGCGGGTGTGGGCTGGTTTGCCACAGTTGAAGCACAGGGGGCTGTTTTCATGCCTCAGGGTATGACGGGAAGCCCCCGGCCGGTGCTGGAGCATCTTTTCACCTCCTGAGACTGGATTTCCCACAGCACCCTTTGGCCCATCACCTTTTTTGTGCCCCAACAGTGATACTGAGGGAGGAGCCGAGCTGAAAAACCTGGATTTTCCCAGCTTTTGGGATGCATAGAGGTTTAAAAGCTGTAGCATCATTTAATGGTCGTTTGCATCATTAACGAACATTATTATGATATTATTAGTAGTACTATTGCTTTTATTATTATAACCATTATCATTATTCTTATAAAAATATAATTATATTCATAATCATTATATAACGTATATTATATATTCTCTCTTATTATAGAAATGACAATATAATTATTATATGTCATATATTTTCTTATAGATTGTCTAAATTTAATACAATTATATTTATAATGGTGGAGGAGCCGTGCTGAAAAAACAGCTGTTGGGGATGCATGGAGGTTTAGGAGCTGTGGTGTCATTTAATAATGCCATCTGCATAATTAATGAACTATATTATTATTATCATTATTAACATGAGCATAATTATTCTATCATTATTATCATAATCATCATTACTATCATCACTATTATCGTTATCATCACTATTATCATTATTATGATCACTATTATCACTATCAAATCCCCATATTACTATTTTATGAAAATATATTTATGTTTATAATAACTATATAATATATTATCTAATATCTATTTTATTACAGAAATTACAATATAATTATTGGATACCTTATATTTTCTTACATACTATCTAAATTTAATACAGTTGCCTTCATAATGACATATAATTCCAACATAATTACCATTATTTTTCCACACTCTGTATTTTATTCCATACAATAGCTCAAAATAATTAATAATAGTACTAATATCAATTATTTTGCCCACGATATGATTCACAGGCAGGCTCCCCGCTGCCATCTCTGTCACCCAGCAACATTTTTTTTCCCCCTTCGCCAGGACTTAAGGGTTTATGTTCTTAGCCCGGGTGAGCTATTTTTAAGCATCCTTACCAGACCGGGGCTGATTTCTCCCAGTTTTTCACCAGAGAATGGAAATTTTTTTTTTTTCTTAATTCCTGGGAAGATTTATCGGCCGGAGCAGAGTTTCCTGCCCGGAGCTGGAAGGCTCCGTCCGGAAACCGCGCCGATGCCTTGCCGGGAGGGGGGATGAACGGATGCGGGCACGAGGCTAAAAATACCCCCCAGAGCCTTTAGTTCCTCTTCCCACCCTGGAAAAAAATCAAATTAAAACCTCTGAGTTCATAGGGAAGAGGGTGAGGCCGTTGGAGCTCCCTAAATCCTTCAGAATTGTTTGTTGTTTTTTTTTTTTCCCCAAAATCCCAGGTAGCAGCAAGGATTGGGGATGATGGGGTAGCATCATCCTTTTCCCCCTGCATCCCGATCTGGAGCATTCCTGGGGCGCTGGCAGGATTGGGGCCAAGCGGGGACACAGATCGATGGGCGGGATGCGGGGATGGAGCCACCGGGATGCAGGTCCTCGGTGGTGTTCCCCCGGGGGAAAAACAAACAAACAAACAAACAACAACAAACCACAACAACAACAACAAAAAAACAAACAAAAAACAAACACAACAAAACCAAACCAAACCCCGGCACAAAACCTGACCTCGCCTGAGCTGATTAATTTTCTGGCTGAGCCTTATGGGCAAAGGTGGGGAATAATCTTCCCCCGGGAGCCAAACATCCCTCTCCAGTCCGGTACCGCTTGTATCCCGCTGCTTTCTCCCAGTTCGATTTTGCGGGGACGTGGGGATGGGATGGGGGTGTCAAGAAAGGGCACCCATGAATGATCCCAGCTGAGTGCTGGCAGTAAAAAAGGGGAAGCTGGGGAGGGCTCGTGAGGTGTCTGTGGGTGCTCCCCCCCCCCCCCCCC